CAGGTTTTGAGGAATCCATGTCGGCCCATTCCTTCCCTGTTGTGAGTCTCTAATATAATGTTCGGAATGGTACAATTCCGAGGAGCCTATCCTGTAGCATCCATGATGACTAGGTCTCAGAAAATTCAGCATATTTCCAGAAAGTGGAAGGACATTGCTAAGCTTGGACTCGCCCTACCAATGCGATCCGATGATGATTATTGGAAGGCCGAAGACAGTAGTCTGGAGCACCAAGTGACCATCACAATTTTAAGCACAGCATCTACTGAAACTGAAAATGCCCATTTCGTCGTCTCTCCGCATAGCGCACACGCTTCGGATGGAAGCGCTGCATCGATTTTGTCGGATCTTGCGAACGAAGAACAGTTGCATCCACCAAGGTATTCTCGGTCGAGGAGGCGACTCAAATCACACAGAAGATTTGGAAGCGCCCCAGCAAATTTATCGGTGTCCAAGGAAGACATTTCAGGAGGGCAAAGGCCAAGCCTCGATCAAGTGGGCAGTGCCCCCTCAAGTTTGTCAGTGCCCGATGAAGCCAGCTCAAGAAAGCCAGCGCCAAGTCTCGATCAAGCGGAAGAAAACAAGTCTGTTGCTCCAGCCAACAACAGCAACAACAGCAACAGTCGGCAAGCGAAAGAAGAACGCATACAGAGTCAGTTGTCTGCTCGTGTCATGCAATTTGTGGATTCATTCAATCCTCTTTCGCTTGATGAAGAGCCTCTTCCAAATTATGCTCTAATAGAATCCTTTGACTCGTTATCATGGGGGCCGATGGATGGTGACGACGCGTACGAGCCCAGAGTATCGCTCGACTCTGGTCCCTCTGGGTCAAGTTCAAGGCCCAAGAAGTCGGATCGAAACAAGACAGAAATCGATCGGAATGGATTTCCAAAGCTACTATAGCATATAGAACCTCCATCCTTGACGGAACGATTGATTAATTCACGGCTCATGAGTCAGTCACCACTACCCACTTTAGCAAATGAACGAACAAACATAGGGTCTAAAATATTTTGACTGCAATTTATAGCCACATAGCACTACGATCCAATTAACACCGAGATATGAGAGCATTTTATCATACAGACAAACCCAATGCCAGTGCCATTTTGAGCAGTAGGTTTGCTTCTTGATGCGACGCTGTACACAGATCAATCGAACGCAATTCCGTACTCTTGGCTTCTTCAACTATTGTCTTCAATCCAATCCACAGCGTTCTTTCATATGCATTTCCCGTTGGATTTGACGTCAGTGTAGGTATGCCGACATCGTTGACACCTGTCTGCGCAATGAGTTGCAGAGACGAGCGATACGACGCCCTTATTTCAGTTTCCAAGATTTGGATTCCATTCAAATCCGAATCATCCCATTCGGTATCATCGTTTGATGGTGACAATGGCCCAACAGCAAGGAAGACAAATTTGGCTTGCAAAGTGCTAAATGAAAGCGGTCCAATGCCGACCGCCTCACCAGTAGGGCACTTGACTGGGCCCCAATCAGTTGTGGCCTGAACATCTAGTGACTGCATGGCTGTCTGGAATGATTCTCCCCCAGCCTCAAGAATCTTTTTACCATCGTCATCAACTGCCATATCACAGCATTCGTTGGTCCAATATACAATCCCGCTTGTTCCGTCCTCATATGCCAAATCAAACACAGATCCCATTGTGATATTGAGATTGCAGAAACCTCCCACCCTTGGAATCTTCAGTGTAGCTTCGCCGCTGTTATCCGATAGTGTGCCCGAGACATCCATCGCGGTAATGGGTTGGTCTAATCGCAATTGCGAAAAGAGCTTATCGATCTCGTAGAAATTTTTCTTTCCGTTGGAGTCCCCATTAGTCAAAGCGACTGCGTTCTTCGCGTCTTCGGCCTTGGCATGCTTCTCCCTGAGTGCTGTCTTCTTCAGTTCAAGGATCTTTCGCTTGATTGCATTTGCCTCGTTGTACTTTTTCATCTTTAAATACTTCTTGAACTTCTCCTTGTATTCTGCCTCTTTCTTGGCAAGATCTTCAACGTTTGGGAATTTTGGCCGCAGACCCTCTAATTCTTCTATCGCATCGGTAAAGTCATAAGCTCGGGCATAATTCTTTCCATCAATGGCCTTCTTCTTCAACGTGGTATACTTCAAAATCTCCTCTTCCAGGGCAGCGCCGGAATCAACTTGGATTTCGGGCCTCTTGGCAAACCGCAGCAAATTTCGCAGGTCAATTTCCGTGAAGGCAGAAGCCGATTTTGCAATCTCGGTTGGATTTCCGCCTCCAAGAATTTCGTATAGTTTGTTGCTACGATTTGATTCCAATTTCTGCTTTTCGTCCGAAGATGCTATTTTCGCAATTGACGGTGGAACAATGCAGTCGGCGAACTCTTCTGCAGTGTGTACAATCGGGTTTCCAGACCTTGAGATCACCTCGCTCAAGTTTCCAAAGAGCAGAGCTGATGATTTCAGATCGAGAGGACCAATATTGACCATGGTTTCTTCTTGTCGAGACGTCTTGGTCTTGGAAGACTTGGATGCCTCCATGGCAGTGATTAAGACAATCTTCATGCTGACCTCATTCAACAGATGAGTTAGAATCATTTCCAAATTCTCTCCCGAGGCTTCTGTGGTGAACATTCGTCCATCAATGACAAGAATGCTTCGCATATCGGCTAGTGCAGAAGTCACCCGATCTCTTCTTTGCGCGAATTCTGGTTCTTCCCATATTTGATCCTCTGAATTTATCGTCATTTCGATCAAGAAACAAAGATCTTCGTATATTTCATCTTCCTCCTTTTCGGCTGACTCGGGTGCTGGAAGCCAGTAGACGGAATCAATCTTGAAAGACTTCGGCCGTTCCAAAATGTACCGGGCAACGGCGGAAATACAACTGGCCTTTCCGCATCCGACGGCACCGCCCACGCGGACGACATCGTCCACGCGCAATGATTCCAAGACTTCGTACATGTCGACTTCTCTGCCGACAAAATGTTCGGGAACTTCGGGAAGAGGTGGCGAAAAGACTTCCGGTGGAGGAGACAATTTTGGCATTGGCCGTTGGTAAAATACGTCAACATTGTGGTATGGATCATTGGCTGGTTTTTCGGGCAGAAGACAGTATTGCTGGGCAATGTTACCAGTCACCTTGACATTGCTTGATCGCTTGACAGTATCCACACCTTCGTTGAAGGCTTGCTGCAAAGTCTTGTGGCTGGCCAAGGCAGTGTAAAAGGCCTGGGCAAACTCGACGGGTCCTTCATCCCGGAAGGCAGTGTCTCGCTGAAGACAGACCACATGTGGAACACCAGCTTCAATAAAAGCATCAGCCATGGCTCGAGCGTAACACGTGTGAACGACCACTACCTTGACCTTGCCTTCTCCATTCTTGACAAATCGCATCAAATCAGTGGTTGGCAGCGCTTGCATGTAACCAAATCCATTCTCCAAAGCCAAACAGCTATCATGACCAATCCCCGAAAAGTGCATAATGGGCGAGGTTCCTTGCAAGAAAGAAACCTTGAATCGTCCAGCTGTGACATTTTCCACATTCAGTTCAATGACACCTCCCAAGGCTTCGGGATTTGCCAGAGCATCTTCAATGGCATCCGCCTCGTATTGGAAATCAAAAATGGGAATTGCAATATGCTCCGATGTTTTTCGATCAAAGTATGCTAGTGGTGCTGATTGAAACACCGTCAAACGATCTATTGGCAAATTGGGAGCGACCTCAACAAGTTCTTCGGGTTCAACCTCTTTGGTGGCTTCAGGTTCCACTGCTGGGGAAGGTACCCTATCCGGCACGTCCGGCATGACCGCTGAGGGTGGACTTCTCGAAGCTTCAATCTCTTCAATTCCAAAGGTACCCCAGTCCCAATGTTCAATGGCTTCCAATGCAATGCTAGGCCCTTGATCTTGTTCTTCTTCCTTTTCATCAAAGTGACGTTCGTCCGAATAGATTTGCTGAGCCCAGCCGACCGAATGATCCGAGGTCTCGCCCTCGTCAGCGGCCTGTTCAGTGGGGGGAGCTTGTCCTGTACGTTCGCCGTAACGATGAAGTAGTCGCTTGATTGCCACAATGATAAATTTGCGATCAATTTGGTTGTGGTACAAACCAGAAATCTCACGGACGCTGGTATTGATGGCCAGGGCACTTAATATGGCTCTGGCACCCGTATTGCTGATATCATTCTCGGCCAGTCCCAAGACTTGCAGAGTCTCATTGGCCTCCATCATTCGAGCCAGTGCAATCGCTCCATCATCACTGATTCCATTCCATCCTAGGTACAGCTTTTCAATGACACTTTGTTTGTTGGCAGCAATCGCGTTGGCAATTTGCTCCGCTCCTTCGTCGTGCATAAAGTTTCCATCGAGGTTAAAAATCTTGAGAGTGGTGTTGGAACGCAAGAACGAACCATCGTCCATGTCCCAAATTTCATTTTGACTTAGGTTCAAGTTACTCAAGACTGGCTTGGGGTTGGACGAAAACGCCGAAAGGATATTGGCTGCACCCTTGCTACTGATCGAGTTTTCCGACAAATCCAAGGTTTCCAGCGTCTCGGATTTGGAAAACAAAAAGGACAGAGCCGTGACTCCCTTGTTTCCAATACGGTTCTGTCGACAGCTAAAGGATCGGATATTTATGTGATTGGCTTGTTCAAGGGCGTTCGCAATCTTGATCAAACCATCGTCCCGCAATCGGCACTTGTTCAAGACAATGGTATCCAAGGTCTTGGTTTGTCCCATGGCCGCAACAATCGCATCCACATCTTCAGGTCTCAATTCCACCTTGGTCATGTCTAGGACAGCAAAGTAATCATGCTTTACCAATTGCTCGAGACGTTGTGAGATGATAGGATTGACTTCTCCAGGGACTACGGGTTTCAATGGCATGGGAGTTTGGGTAGTATCAATGGTATCGTCATCGGAAAAGTCCGTAAAACTGGAAACAGAATCCGTGAGAGAAAAGCCAGAACCCCGTCGCTTCTTTTTGCGAAAGGTACTGGCAATTCCTGACAAGCCACTCCGAGAACTCCTTGAGGATCGGCCGGAAGCACTGGAAATTCCACTCAAATCCGACATGCCAGACATGATGGACATATCATCGTCCATGGTACTCATGATACTTCCCGTTTCCGGATCCGCCCGAGTTTTGCGCCGTTCGGGGCGATTCTTGTCGGACTTGCGCAACATTTTCATTTTGAGTTTTTTGCGGCGCTTGTCCCGAGAGTCCTTGGTGCCAGCCTCCCCCGTCAAGCGTTTGGCTTGTCCCAAGGTATAACAATTGGGTTTGAGGCAATATCCCTTGTAGACGCTGTATTCTCCAGTTTCTTCATCGTGCAATGTCATGGGTTCCCATTTCTTGCCTCTTCCAAATAGTTTAATGACACGTCGATGCGTGCGAACATTGGCACAACGTCGGCAGAGTCCGTGGTCTTTGCAATACTCCTCAAACTCTTCCCCTGAAAGGACACGGCCTTCAATTTCCAGAAAGGAGACTACTGGGAAGCCATTGGAGCTTTCTGGATTCGTTGACGATTGTGCCTCTGGCTCTGCCATTTTGTTTGTTTAGCGAACTCGCAGTCAGTCAATCAATCAATCAATACGGAAGCGATTCGAATAGTAAAAGAGCCAATACGAACGAACGCTGTTTCAGGATGACTCTTCAGAAATATTGTTAGCTTGCTTCTTTCTTTCTTTCTTTCTTCACCACCAAGAAAGAGTTTCCCAAAGTTGTTGACTTGTCTTTCTGCCTTTTATCAGCTTCTGCGTGACTGCGTGTGTGTCTATATAGAGAGACCTAAACACCAATGCAACTACAACGTTTGCTTGCCCTCGTTTCGTCGCACCACCGCTCCTTCAGTTTTCCAAAATTGCGAGGATGACCACCAATACGGAAAGCGTTAGGCCCTACTGAATAGTGTGACGACATGCCTGTCCATCCACCGGTATTACGCACTGTGTCGGTCGATGGAAATTTTCTGGAATGACTGTGACTGTTTGGAACTGAGCTAGTTTTGTGGTGTACTATGTAACCCGGAGCAAGCAGTCGTTTGTGGTCGACTAAAACGGCACAATAAATCAGTCGGATACATATCTCTTGCGCGCGTGAATCTATCGATTGTTTAACATTATTCCAACTTCAATAAGTATGAAATCCGAATGCGGCAATCATACGCCAATCAAAAGTCACCAAAGCAAATAAGCAGCAAAGGAAAAGCTTCCGTTTCACGGCTGATGTAGCTCGCGCATGTGTTTGACGAGCTCAAGACACAAGAGATTAGGGGAGGAGAAACCAATACGAAGTGAATCATCATCTACGGAAGCCACTGCAAAGCTCTGTTTCATCCCCTTCCCTTTCATACCAGTTGTGTTCCTCATTGATCAAGTTGGCTTGTGATTGAGCGAGACTGATCTCTTCTAGTTCCACAAATTGAGAGAGCAACTGTTTCCTTCTTGGCCACCACAACGAAACAACAACCTCAAAACCGGAATTCACCATTGTTCCATCCATTCCAAATACGAATACCAACAATATGGCGACAGGCCAAGCCATAGCTCCCGACAATATGGAGCGGCGTATGTCTCACGAGTCTCTGGTTCAAGCCAAACAAGAAATGGCTCAGAACAGCAACGGAGTTCGAATCAAAAGTGGACACATGTTGTATGGCGAAGAATTGGAAGAATTCTGTTCCCAACGCGGGCTGTGTCCACTCTGTGGCCGCGTCAAAATCAAACGCAAGGCTTTTAAATTGTTCAAGAAATCAAAATGGGAAAACTTGACGGTCAAATCGAGGACCACGGGCAAATACAAAGTCTACAAGGGGTATTGTTTGAGCGAAGGTTGTTTTTCATTGGATCAAGTCCGACGGATTACTTCCACCAACGGAACGCAGCATGCTCAACGACCGCGATATCCCAAACGATGGAGCAGTGCGGATGACAGTTATCCATTGGGAGACGATGATACCGTCTTTTCGCTCACGCCACCACAAGAACATCGTTTCCCCACGGAAGAACTCAAGGAGGAACTCCGCCAGAATCCAAAACATGTGGACGATCGGATACCACTCTCGATTGTTCAGGCAACGATTCGAGAATTGTCAAGCAATGAATCCATCACGATATTAGATCTTAGTAAAGTGGCCATTCGGACCTCGGACATGCGCATGTTGGTTTCGTTTTTTGAAGAGAATACCTTTTTGCGGACTCTAATGCTCGAAAATTGTTTGCTCGATGATGAGCAAGCCGTATTGTTGGGAGGAGGATTGGAGGCTGCCAGTGACATGACTCTTACCAAACTGTATCTCACAGAAAACAAGATTGGGGATTCGGGCTTGGAGTCCATTTGCAATTATCTGGAGACTTCGAGTACATTGGAAAAGTTTGATATTTCCAAGAATGAATGCAGCAGCATGGGTGCGGTCAAGATCTTCAAGGCCTTTTCTCAGAATCCATTAACCAAAATTGTTGCTTTGAACTTGAGCCATAACAAAATTTATGACTTGGACGAAGATCAGTTTGGAATCAAGACCTTCCTTACCAGAAACAGAACGCTTCGTGTCTTGAACTTGGAGGGGAATGTCATACATGCCGAAGGAGTCAAGTCGATCGCCAAGGGGATTATATCGAATACGAATAGTACTCTCGAGAGACTATATCTGGGGTTCAATTCGATTGGGGATGATGGGGCTATCATTCTGGCCAATGTTTTGGAAAGGAATACAACGCTGACGTATTTGGGACTGATTGAGAATGCCATTGGGAATCCAGGGGCCAAGGCCTTGTTATTAGCGTTGGACACCAACAAGTACATATCGGAAATTTCGGGATTGTGGAGGAATAATATAGATCGACGATTCATTGTGGTGGCCATTCGGCGGTTGCTTTTGGCATCCGATCGAATAGCCAAGAGGCGGCGGCAACCAGATAATCCTATGGAACCAGTGCGATCGGCTCCTCCACCACGGGTGTCTATTGCTCGACCGGCACCCAAACAACCGCAACCCGAACAACCCCAATTCCCTCCGGAAGATGAAAGTGCCGTGTCAGGAGATGTTGGATTTGGGACGCTCTCGTATGCACCCAGCATTGCCAGCTCGGTGCCATCGCAAATAACACCCGATGGATTCCCCATGTCACCATTGCGAAATGACAGAAATGGAATAACATCCATGAATGGCACGAGGAGTCCCAAAAAGTCCCCCAAGCGAGATCCCAATTTGCCAGTAGATCGGCTGACAATCTTTCAAAGTGCTCCACTCGCCTACTTTGACAAGATAGCAGGAGCACATCGAGGGATTCCGTTGATAGACTATCGAGACGAAGAAATGGTAGTGGCCCAATCGGTTTCATTTTCTGTGGATTCAACAATTGAAGTTTCCATCAAGACGGCAACACCAGCCAATCTGAGTAGTTTCTTGCAAGAGAAGGATAATCGAGTCCTTCACTTTTCATGTCACGGACATCCGGATTACATACCGTTGGAAAATGGGTTTGGTTCGCTGCATATTCTACCGCATGAAGGTCTTGCCAAGTTAGTGGCCGTCAATGGTTCGAATTTGCACACGGTGTTCGTTTCGTCTTGCCATGCGCATTCGATTGGACAGGCGTTTGTCAAGGCGGGTGTCAAGCATGTGGTCTGCTGTGAACGGGAAGACAATTTTCAGGATCCAGTGGCGTCTGAGTTTGTCCAAACCTTTTACCAGGCCTTGGCACGAGATCTGACCCTTTTTCAAGCCTTTGAAAGCGCAAAAAAGGCAGTTGCCGCGTCCATGCATGCCACCAATAAACGAAATCTCTCAAAGAGATTTCGCTTGTTGCCAGAAATGGACGAAGTGGAAAACTTTCATAAGGTTCCAGTCTTCTTTGCTGGCATGCCTCCTCAAAGTCCTCTTGGATTTTGGAAAAAGCAACCACAATTACCCAAGCTGCCGAAACACTTTGTGGGTCGTGAAGTTGACATATATGATGTTCTACAAGCTCTTCGAGCCGAAGACATGGTCCGTATTAATGGACCCCCTGGACATGGAAAAGAAAGCGTCGTTGCAGCCCTGGCGGACTATGCTATTCTACGTTCAGAAGCCTTTGGTGTTGATGGCGTTTTCTGGTTGCCTCCCATGCCTGGAGTCGTCCCCGTGAAAGATTCTCTGTACGGTGACCTATGCCAATGTGTTTCTACATTGCAGGATGCTCCAGAAGACATCTGGGATAAGAATGAGCGCCTGATGGAATGCAGAGATCGAATAGATATTGAAATGGAGAACATGAAGCCTCTGTTGGTTGTCGATGATTCCTTGATATCCTTTGTTTCTGCTGGTGCGCAAACTGGTTTCGAAAGTTTTCTGAGCCACTTAATGAATACGTCTGCAGCCAAGGTCATCAAGGTCATGTCGGGGGGTGAAACACCTTCCGCTCTCTCTGGGAACTCTATGATTTCATCGAGTTCCAAGATAGAAGAGGCGAGCTTTGAAATCAGTCCCCTCGACTTTCGGTCCACTGCCAAACTGTACGGAGGCATTTCCAACTTTATCTCGAGTAGTGGTTGTCCAGCCGCTCACACAGCTACAGAATTTGCCGAACTAGCCGAGCCACCGTTTATCACACGGGTATCCATGCCATCCTCTGTGGTATCACAACGTAGGTCCGACTTGTATGCTCGTATGGGGAGCGGCATCCCGGCAGCAACCGTTGCTATTGCGCAGGGCCAAAGCAAAAAAGCCTTCATCGAACTCATCAAGATTGCCAACATACCCGAAGTGCATGTCGGGACGCTAGGGGCTCTGGAAAAGACTCTGGAGAAAATGACACGATTGCAGACTGCCGCCATCAAGGAACGAAATTATCTTCGTGCTTTGGATTTGGATAGAATAATAGAGGAGATTGAAGAGATGCGTCCAGAGTTCCCAACTTTGGAAGAATTGAAAATGGAAGAGGAGGTTCTCAAGGCGGACCTCGCCGAAGCTATTGGAAACAAGAATTATGACGAAGCCGCCAACATCAAGAAAGAGATGTTGCTACTCAAGAAGAAGATTAGCCGGGAGCGAACAAACAACAACGGAGATTCGGCAGGCGAAGCTACCGATCGAATGGATGAAGTCCAACTGCAAATCAAGAATATGATCGAAGATGTCAGGTTGGAAGATTTGGATGAAGCCGTGACTTTTGTTATTGAAGGCGCAGACGGTACCAAATGCAACTTTGTGATTGAAGTTGGTGAAGTCTATGACTTCCAGCCTACCTATACTGCTAATGGCGTTGTGGTTTGGGCCAATGAAAGCTGTGCGTTGGGTGGAAATCCCATGCATGACAAGTTGTTGGAAAAGGGAGGGCCCGCTTTGGTTAATGACATTGAAAGCCTTCCCATTGTGACAAAGACTGGACACGGTCCAGTCCGCTGTGGAACTGGTAACGCTGTTATTGTGGGACCCGAAAAGTATGGCGAGCTGGGAACTCCGTGCTTGATTCTGGCCGTGGGCCCACTCTCACCACACAACTCGGAAGATGCTGTCGACGATGACACGGATATTTTACATCATATCAAAATGATGTTGCGATCGAGTTACCGGTCCACCTTGATTCTCGCGAGACACGCCGGCTTACAAGCCTTGGCATTGAATATCTTGACTACCCGCAAGACAGGCAAGGCCTATCACGAAACGGTCCAAATGGGATTGCAAACCCTGGTGGAAGAAGCCCAATTCTGCACCGTCAAGCAATACCAAGTCATGGCCTCTTCGCCCAATGAAGCTGCCTTGTTAGCAGGACTCATGACCGAGATGGGCTATCAACGGCTATCTGCAAAAACCTATGAACTATGATCTACTAGTCAGAATCTCCCAACATCTTTGAACTTGTGACAAACAAGAGTTCAAGACCAACAAAGAACTGCATTGTCCGACCAAAAGATGGCGGACTGAGTAGCCATCCTTTTTGTGAGAACATTCATCAAAGAATCTCTCCATGTGGAATAATGGAACGTTATCCAGAACCAGTCTCATAGGTTTGAATCGGAGACAATGGATCAAATGGAACGGAGTGCAACAGCTTTCAGAATCCGATCGGCTCGAAGTAAGACAGTCAAGTGCTGAGTTAATCTTAATCGAGGTAGAACTCTCTTGATCCATCACATGATATGTTTTAGTGTAAACATCACAATATGTCTGATTCAATACCTGGTGCGTGGTGTTTGAATTAACGGTTACTAGCACTATGACCAAAAAGGGGCGCCAAAACGAGGGGCTCGCAGGCAATCACTGGAAAAGCTGCACAGTAATACAGTTCTTAAAAAGTTACAAAACAACATGCAACAACTTTTTTTTAAAAAACATACAGTACTTGCTTTCTAAAGTAGATAGAGTATATGACAACTCCTATATGTAAATAACATCTATTCTATAATTCAGGATGACTTGGGAACCGCAAAAGACACAGCTGATCCTCCAAGACTAGAGTCTCGTTTCTTTTCTCAAGACGTTAACACTTAGAGACAGTACGAGGTGCCTGGAACAAGCTGTGAAACTGGCCAGCAGACGCAGTAATTGCTGAAACAACACTTGTTATCTCCACACGGGCTGCTGTCCTCACATGGAACCATGTAGGGAGACTGTTGAAGAGCAAGTTGTGTTTTGCTTGGGTTGTCACAGACGCCTTCCGGACCTGGTGGCACAGCAGGACTAGTAGGGGGTGCAACTGGGGCTGCTACTGGCGGAGCAACTGGAGCTGCTACAGGAGGAGTGGCAGTGGGTGGAGTTACGGGAATGGCAGGCGTGGGTGGAGCGATACCACCGCCGAGTCCATCGGTTCTGTCAGTGGTGTCAGTACCTGGAACATTGGGAATGACGGGGTTGTTGGAGGGACCGCCGCCAGGTGTGAAGTTACCGGTGTTTGCGTTACAGACGCACTGTTATAGTTGGAAGAAACAAACGATGTGAGTGAGCATCCATTCGTGGTCCAAAAGACATATTCAGGGAAGTGTTCCGAGCAGCTTACCATAAGATCTCTGTACTGGTTGTTCGTGTCGTAAAGCAACCACTTTTGTGGTCCGTTGGCATCCGTGAAGGAGAACACACGACAACAGGCAGTAGTGGCTCCCATTGCGGCATCTGGAGTACGGCATTGAGCATCACCTGGGTATTCAGCGGTGAGCCACTTTCGGGCATCGTCGAATGGAACACATTCCTTGCCAGCAGGCTGGATCAAAGCTCCAACAGGACTGCCGTCGCGGTTGATTCCATCTCCGCCGCCAACGCTTCCTCCGACGATGCCTCCATTTCCACCACCTCGATTGGGGGCGACAAAGCCACCCGAACTGCTGCTCTTCTTTGAGCTGCTGCTCTTGCTCTTCTTGAGGCCTCTGTGTGTCTCAGCATCAGCGTTAGGCCTGCGAGCGGAAACTCCCTTCTCGGCAGCAGAGGCCAGAGAGAGGAGGGAAAGGAGAAGGAAGATTTGCTTCATAGACAACATTGTGTATTAGATGTTTGAATGTGTTGAATGAGTCTCACAGTTTGATTTTTTATGATGGTTTGTGTGACTTCGGGTTTTCTTAAAATCTTTCGAAACTCCAATCATGTTTTTCGAATATCAAGGTTTGAATTTCAATTGATGGACCTCACGCGTGCCATCTCTAGGTATTTATATCCAGGGTGACTGCCCTGCACCACACATAGAAAAATTGAAAAATTTATCTGTCCGCACGACACCAGTGGTGTGACCAAGGGAGGGTGTGACACCAGTCCAATCTACCAATAGAAAAATCTGGTCGAACTTTTAAATCCAGTTGAATCTTGTGGGCGCAAATCTGAGAAAGATCAGAAGCAAGTCCAGAGCAATCTGATGACGATGGTGAATCTGATCGAGTACGCCAACAAGTGGTTGTCCGGCAATGTCAATGCTTCTTCAATCATATGGTTCATGGAAACGAATGAGATGCCGTTCGAGCCTTCCTTTTGAGGGTTGCCGACAAAATTTGCGTTATCAGGATGAATGTTTTGGAATTTGTTGTTTGTTACTTGGATAACCAATAATGACTGATGAAATTGAAGCTTTTGAATGATTTTCTCAGTGAACGTCGCGGAACCTTGAGAGAAATACCGACAACATCTGAAGCAATTCGGGTGCATTGACTTCCGGCTCAGACGTGTACTCAACACTCCTCTCATTAAGACTATTTTTTGCATTTCGTTCAACGCATTACCCAGCATAAGAGTTAGATATAGGTCAACGAGTCTGGAGACATGCGAGGTGCTGCATACTAATAGAAATCACCGAATGGGCCAATCTTCCTGACAAAGGTGCTGCAACTCAGAACCAGAGCCGAACGGAAGTCCTTTCCTCAACAATCAACCTATTTTATGAAGAATTTAACTAGCTCGATTTATCCTCTGCCATGATAGTCCCCAAGGGCATGTTTGAACGAGCAGTACAAAGGTAGAAATAATACAATCAACACAACTTAGTAGACTGATATTCACTAGCCCTTCCTTTCTAGCATTAAGAATGCCGACTGACTGAAACCACTAGACCGTGTGCCAGTGGTGGTCTTGGATACTCATGATCGTATTGTACCATACGGGTACCTGGTACCATTGCCATTGTTGGACGTCAGATTGTAGGGTCGTTCTGGTGTGTCTACCGAACAAGTCTGAACGCAAAGCGATTGATACACTTGTGGGTGTTGTCGTACCGGCAGAAACCAAACTAATATTATTTGAACCACAACAGACTTGAAGAGAAAAATGAAGTGGAAAAGGAATACATTCTACTGCTTGCATCAATTTGTTTACTTGTTTGCTTTTTAAATATGTAAATTGTTTAGGTAGTCATTCTCGATTTACTTTTTTCCTATGAAAACATCTATTCTATAATTCAGGATGTTTGGGTCATCACAGAGCAAAATACAGTTTGGCTCGGCTCTTTCCAAAACTCAGGGGGTCAACAGACGCGCATCTGTTTGTGGCGATAGTCTTCTTGTTGAAGAAATACTTAAGCACAGTAAGCGTTTCCAAGGAAGCTTTGTGGCATACAGACACAGGTGTTGCTTGAACAGCATCTGCCGCTTCCGCAAGTATCACTGGACACGCAAGCAGTCATACCAGGTCGGCTTTGGAGATCAAGTTGGGTTGGGTTGGGGTTTTCGCAGACGGAACGACCTGGTGGTGTTGGTGGGACTACAGGAGCAGATACAGGGACAGAAATAGGAGACGCTACAGGAGGAGCAATAGCACCTCCTCTGTCACCACCAGTTGGGACGCTGATGACGGGGTTGCTTGCAGCGCCGGTGTTTGCGTTACAGACGCACTGTAGGATTGGAAGACAGAGGAAATGTGTGAGCATCCATTCGTGGTTCAAACGACAAATTAAGGAAAATGGTTCCGGTGAGAGACTTACCAAAAGATCTCTGTACTGGTTGTTCGTGTCGTAAAGCAACCACCTTTGTGGTCCGTTAGCATCCGTGAAGGAGAACACACGGCAACAGGCAGAAGTGGCTCCCATGGGGGCATCTGCGGTACGACACTGAGCATCACCTGGGTATTCAGCACTGAGAAACTTGCTGGCATCCTCAAATGGCACACATGGCTTGCCGGGAGGCTGGAGCAAAGTTCCAGCGGGGGTTCCGTCACGGTTGACTCCACCTCCGCCGGAAACGCTTCCACCGACGATGCCTCCGGTTCCACCACGATTGGGGGCGACAAAGCCACCTGAACTGCCGCTCTTCTTGGAAGAACTGCTCTTCTTGAGGCCTCTGTGTGCCTCGACCTCGACGGCCTTACGAGTGGAGACTCCCTTCTTGGCAGAAGCCAAAGAGATGAGGGAAAGGACAAGGAAGATTTGCTTGATAGAGTACATTTTAGGTGCGTTTGATGTGCAAGTTTTTGCTTGTGAGAATATTGTGACAGTTTGGAGTGTGGTCTTCGGATGGCAAATCCTGATCCGATTCTACCAAGTTTCCATTCTCGGGATTCACTGTGGTGGCAATACGTTTCCAACCCTAACTAATAATTTCGAAATGTCACAATACCAAAACCCGCCTCTTTGGCACGTGCAACGGAGAGGAATCCCGTTTTGGGGTTTCTCGACGTCAGTGTTCTCCCACTCAAGTACCAAAAACATCGTAGAAAATTTTCTGTCCTTCAACAGGATGAAAATTTCAAGCGCCTGCAGGTCTGTCAACGGATGTAATGTGACATATCTACTCCTTGTGTGACATGCCATGAATTTTCTTTGCCCGACTTAGTTTCCGTTGCCGACAAGCTCAACAAGATTGTTTTCTTCTCACATTTTCTTTGTCGAAGGCGTTTCGCACATCATAATAACCAGAACTCGGCCTGATGGGTTTGCAAGACCAATACCAGAAGGTGACCATGCAGAAACATTTAGACGAGAACGTTGCCATATCATGGACGGGACGGGATAAAATAAGAAATTGAAAGAGGCAACATACCAATAGCTAGACACCAAGTATGATCCACGAGTGAACTATCATCCTAGCTAAAGATCGAATGCAGTCTTGACTGGTATAGGTGATGGCGGCAAATTATATATGATCTGCTGACAACAATAAAGAATTAACCGAGTGGGCCCATTGCCGACCACCGTGACAGGAAGATCTCACTGCAACAATCAACGAACCTCGCTAGGATTGATTAGCTATTCTGCGATGGCACTGCTAGGTATGGTTCAGGGTCCCACGAACCTGGCTGGCTGGAGGAGACCATAGTTGAATGCAAAAATACAGTAGTCATCGCAGCAGCAACAGCAAGTAGCTTGAATTTTTTAACATCATTCAAATTTCGATACACAAAGTTAGCATTAGTTACTATTAGCTTTATTGTTTACTATTGTTCCATTCATTCAGGAGGTTGCTTCGGTAGTAAACCATCTGATTGTTGCGAAACCAGCATCGTACACGTGTACCCCAACTTGAGGTTTGTGGTGGCCGTTTTCATTTGAAGCCGTCGACAGAGGTTCGCTTTTCGCTTTCGAAAGTCGAATGGGTCGGCTGGAGTGTCACGCCTCTACGCTCGCGTGCGCAGGCCGAGTCAAAAGCCAATCGTGAACGGAAAACAATATACGATTGATCACGATCCGTTGCAACCTTGCTCTCAAGACTAAATACACTGTTGCGCTGTTATGGGAACCCGTCTCCGAGTGTAGCTCGTGCTCGATGACTGTGGTTCCGCATGGACCTACTGATGACGATGGCCTTTCTCCTTTGCAAGTCCATCAACTTCAAGTCCTTTGTTTCATCCAGATTCACTCAGACAAAGATGTCAAGATTTGCCGCTCATTTCGCATTGCTTCTTTGTCAACTAGATCAAGATTGATGAAAATCCGAGGTAATGATTCTACAAGATCGGAATTCCAATGTCAAGATGCAAATACATTTCCTGACTGAAAGCACTTCCGGCAAAATAATGCACGATTGCATTTCATGAGTGGATGCAATGTCGCAAGTGCATTTGCGGATTGAAACCATTATCATTACTGGAATGCACGATCGATCGGCGGAAGGAAGGAATTGGCAAGGTGATTCTATGCCGAGGATGAGATTATTATCTCCCATTTGGATGATTTACGAATATTGACTGATCAAACTGAGATAGGACCTCGATGAAAACCGCTGCGCGATCGGAGAATTTTGGCTGGGGAATCAGCTTGGACAGAGGACTCCATCACATTTGCTCATCGCAACATTTGGAATAATAGGAACACGACAGAGGTACATATCTCGACAATCAACAACATCATGTGGAATAGGAGGCAATATCGATTATTTTATGACAACTGTATCTTGTTGAGCAATGGAAAGTTGCATCTGCAGAAAAGAATGCTTCTGAAACTGATGGCAAAATAATCAACCTGCAGTTGTATTCCTGGCCTGAATTGCGTGTGCATCACTGAATTGCCCATGAAGAGAGTATCAACAATCAACAAACATCTGCAGAATGAGGGTTCTTTGCGATAACTGCAGAAGGCATCATCGGCGGTGTAGAAATAGAAATCATATTTCAGCAGTATTTCAACAATCAATACACTGGTATCCTGGCGGTAGAATGAAAGGCGAATCTCCTGATTGAAAGCCATTGGGGACGTTCAATGAGAATGTTTCTCATCGGCTTTCTTTCTACACACACCGCACTCTAGATATGCTTGAAATCCAGCTTTATAGTAAAAGTGAATGGCTGACATCATCATTGTCAGAAAGAATTCGACATCTTCTGTGAGTAATTATCGCACTTAGCCTCGGAAGCCTTAGTTTTTGCAAATTGAGTACGTATAGTTTGATACAATTTGGACATGTACACTAGTTTTAAAAGCCAAGGGGTATCATATGACGTTTGGCATTCTTCATCATGGCAAAAAATGAAGATTCACTATGAGTCACGAAGACCATTTTTCGGTTCCCATGCAAATTTAGGCCACACCAGCTTCTCCATATTGTCCCACCAAATGTGTCTTTATCATGTTGCAGGTAGCCTCGCGGTTGGCAACGTCCCGACCTTGATAGTAGAGCTTTTCTACAGCAGCTTGGAGCATAGCCTTTTGCTTATCATTAGATAAGGTCCCACTATCGTCAAAGGCACCAAAGGCACCTCCCACAGCCACCGAGTCGGGAAGGACACTGACTCCCAAGTTAGTCAGGAGTTCTCTATTCGGGTTCAAGGATCGCATTCCTCCCATGGCTCCAGGAGAAGCAGATAGAACAACGGCAGATTTGCCCTTGAATGTGGCGTACATTTCGCCATCAGGGTCTCCACGGCTGCACCAAGTAAGTGCGTTCACCAGTAGAGGAGTGACAAAGCCATTGTATTCAGGAGATGCGACGATCCATCCATCGGCACTTTCCAACTCAGCCTTGAGCTGTTGTGCAGCTTTCGGAAGACCTGAGGTGGCCTCAAAGTCTTGATTGTAAACAGGCATGTCGTAGTTACCAAGGTCAAGAACCTTGGTCTCGGCCCCAAGTCCTTTGGCTACTATTTCCGCGGCATAGATCAACTGTGTGTTGACACTTCCTTCACGAGTACTGCCCGACATCAAGGCGATGACAGGCTTTCGAAATTGGGCACTGCTGAAGGATCGTTTGGCAATGGCACTGAAACTCATAATGTTAGTGGTGCGGGTATAAAGTTCCGAAAAGAGATCAGTGAAATAAACAAGTGTTTTTTTGTTTGTGTTTGTCTCGATTGCAAGTTATGATTGATGTGGAAGTGTTCTCGATGGAGTGGCTTTGACCTATTTCGGATTTGGTTCTGGATTGTTCAGGAAGATACTTTTCAAATTAGTAGTCGAAAGAGTCGTCTTCTGACTGAGAAAAGCAATCTATCGATTCTGTAATGCTTGGGAATATCCAATGAGAAACTTTCTTGTAGTTGCAATAGCTACATATGCTTGAAGTCTAACTTGGTGAAAAAGTTTATCCTAACATCATGGTCAGAAAGAATTCGACATGCTCTGGATGTGTCTTGTTGTCTATTAACCGGCTGTGGTCATTCTTAGCCGCCTAAGAAGCAACCCATAAATTTTGTCAATTGAGCATGTGTATAGTAGTTTGATAGAAGTCGAAACAATGAATTTGGATTATAGTCGTTGTAAAAGTCAAGGAGTATAAAACCATACGACGTATTATTCTTCGTCATAGCAAGTGTAAATGATTCCTTCTCAGTCATCGCCAACACCCAACATTCCCCTACCCACAACAAGTTAGGCCACCACACCAGCTTCTCCATATTCTCCCACCAAATGTGCGTCTATCATCTCATAAGTGGCTTCTCGGTTGGCAGCGTCCCGACTTTGGTAGAAGAGTTTTTCCACGGCGGCTTCGAGCATAGCCTTTTGCCCCACGTCAACCAAGGCCCCTTCATCGTCAAAGGCACCAAAGGCACCTCCCACAGCCACCGAGTCGGGAAGGACACTGACTCCCAAGTTAGTCAGGAGTTCTCTATTCGGGTTCAAGGATCGCATTCCTCCCATGGCTCCAGGAGAAGCAGATAGAACAACGGCAGATTTGCCCTTGAATGTGGCGTACATTTCGCCATCAGGGTCTCCACGGCTGCACCAAGCAATCGAATTCACGAGTAAAGGTGTGATAAAGCCATTGTATTCAGGAGATGCGACGATCCATCCATCGGCACTTTCCAACTCAGCCTTGAGCTGTTGTGCAGCTTTCGGAAGACCTGAGGCGGCCTCCAAGTCTTGATTGTAAACAGGCATGTCGTAGTTACCAAGGTCAAGAACCTTGGTCTCGGCCCCAAGTCCTTTGGCTACTGTTTCCGCGGCATGGATCAACTGTGTGTTGACACTTCCTTCACGAGTACTGCCAGACATCAAGGCGATGACAGGCTTTCGAAATTGAGCGCTGCTGAAGGATCGTTTGGCAAGGGCACTGATGAAGCTCATAATATTGGTAGGATATAGAGTTCCAGAAAGAGATCAATGAAATAAACAAATGCGTTTGCGTTTGCGTTTGCGTTGATTGAAAGTTATGATATATTTGGAAATGTTTCCGATAGCCAACCCTATTTTGAATTTTCAGATTTGTTTCGAGATTGTTCTTCTTAGGTTTTAACTGCTCACTCATCGTTTGCTCGGAGGGTAGAGTAGCCTCCAGTTTGTGGGGTTCGTTATTTTCAGATTCGGTTCGAAGTTGTTCTTGGATTGGAACTCCTCATCATTTGATGGAAGATACAGTACCTAGTAGAGGATAGAGCGGCCTCAGGTTGGTATTTCGGATTTGGTTCGAGATTGTTCTTGCATTTGAACTCTCATGAACGCAGTCGAAAGAGTCGATTCGCAGTATTACTTGGAAGCTACAATTATAAAAATGAATTCATCATCTCATGGATTTGGTTTACTTGACTTTGCCTTTTATTTTGACTTGTTTTTATTATTTAGCAAATTAAAATATGTAAAATCGTCAACAGTAGGACTAGGACTAATATAATATTCCACGTTCATCAATCAATCATTCTTCTTGTCCTCGGCATCCTTGGGCTCGGATGGTGGTGCTTCCTCTGCAGGAGGAGCTGGTGCTGGAGCAGCTGCCGGAGGCGAAGCCACACTTGGTGGCGGTCCCATGAGCAATTGATCCACGGCTCGGTTCAGATTTCCATTATTCTGTTGCAGTACTGCCAGACATGATTGTTCGTCATCAAAGCCCATATCCCGCAACGATTGCAGTTGGGATCGATACCGATCGGCTGGATGTTGTTGTTGTTGATTCATCGTTGATGTTGTAGGTGGTTGCATACCTTGAAATTGTTGCATTAGGCTACCAAAGTCCAAGGGTGGAAAACCACCTGCACCAACACCACTGGCACCACCTTGGTTGCCCAGCAGACTGCTAAAGTCCAATCCATTCGGAGCCGCACCACCAGTAGCACCAGCTCCAGCATTAGCTCCTCCCATCATGGGTGGCATGCCAAACATGCCCATATTGTTCATACCAGCACCCATGCCATTAGCACCAGCACCACCCATGCTACGTTGCATTTGCATCATGCTGCGGAGCGCCTGTGGATTCATCATTTGCCGAATGAATTGATTGGCCCGTTCCGTATCATTTCCAAACATTTGTCGGATGGCAGGATTTTGTTGTTCGAGCATGGCACGAATCATGTCGGGATTCGTATCCACCAAGTTGGTAATCATTTGAGACACCATGGGATTTTCCAACATTTGCATCATTTGATCCATGTTGGGGGGACTGCCGTCCATGGGCATGCCAGGAATTCCGGGCATGCCACCACCACCACCACCCATACCTCCGGCAGCCATGGCAGCCCATGGATTGCCCATGGCAGTATTATTATTGTTGCTGCTACTGTTATTACCAGTGCTGCTAGAAGAGGCAGGGGATGCCCAAGGATTGGACATGGCCATATTGTTGTTGTTCGTCATTGGAGGACTAGATCGTGGAGAGGCAGCGGGCGCTGGTGCCGGAGCTCCCCATGGATTGGGCATGGCAGCTCCAGTAGCCCCTTCGGTAGTCGACGCCGGACTAGCATTGGAGGCAGTCGAATTGTCTCGGGCGGCATCTTGTGCCTCCATGAGCGGTTCTTGAATGTTCCGGTACATGCTGCTCAATGCAGAAAAGCCTCCGGGCATGTTTTCCAATTGAGACATGGCCAATTCTTGAGATCGCATCGCCTGTTGCATGGCACCAGGATCCCGCATCATTTGCATGGCCTGCCGCATCAGGGCCGGATCATTGTACAATTGCCGAAGCTCCGGAGTCGACTCCAGCAAGGCACGAAGCTGAGGATTGCTTTGCATGCTCATTTCCATGGCGGTCTGCATCATCGTAGGGTTTTCCATTAAAGACTGCATCATGGGACTGTTCATCATTTGGGACATTTGTTCAGCATTCGGAGGGTTGTTTCCCATCATGCCAGCCATTCCACCCATGGCACCGAGACCTCCCGAACCGCCCGCATTGTTGCCTCCAAAGGGATTCATGAATGGATTGCCATTGCTATTGCTATTGTTGTTGTTGTTGTTGTTGTTGTTGGCAGGAGCTGAAGTGGGTGGCCGCGTTGTTGTTGCCGTTGCTGTTGTCGAAGAGGAAGATGCGTTGGCCGTAGAACTCGCTCCACCTGCTCGAGGAGAACTTCCGCTGGCGCTGCTGCTCATTACAAGAAAGAGGGTAGCTTGATCTACCACTCCATAGTGCTCTAGTCCCAGGCTGTCATCATCTAGAATTCTTCCTTTGTAAACCAATCGTTGTCGAGTTGCCTCATATTCTGTTCTGGAAGATTGAATCGCCAGTTTGGTGTCCAACACAGTGGCACTGGAAGCAACCGAAACATTCATGCGTTCACCGCTAGACAAGCGAATGGTCAAGGTCCAAGAAGTACTCATGGTTGATACACTGGTTGTTGTTGTTGGTGGTGGTGGTGGTGGTGAAGGAGGCACTGGTTGACTGACTCCTCTTTCTTCTTATCAAGACAGGCAATTAAAATCAATCAGTCAATCAATCAACAGTTGAAGTTTGAAGCAGTTTTCCATTTTCTCCTGCGATTGATTCAACGGGAAAAAGAAGCACAAAGAGCAGATTCGATTGATTCGCATGACTGACTCATTATCTCCTCTTCTCTCTTTCTCCTCTGGTCGAAATGCAAAATGGGAAAACACAATACCAAAAAGAAAGATCTTTCAGCTAACTGCATGCTTCATTAATCTATTGATTCATTCATTCATTCATTCATTATTGACAAATGATTGAAAAAGCATGATGCATCATCAAAAGCCCTGGTGTCAGCTATTGTTTTGCGCCACAATTGCCTTATTCCTCTTTCCATCAGGTTCCAATGGTCGTCATCCATCACGTGACAACAACAACAACAACATTGCCTTATCATGGCATTTGAATTCGGTGGTGGCCAACGCATTCAAAGCCCATGGGGTGACTGTTGCTGTAGACAAATATGCTGCTAATGTACATCCTTTGGAATATCCCATAATGATTCACGGCACATCGGCTCTGCGGAGTCTTTCGGATGACAATAATATTAATAATAATAATAATAATAATAATATGGCTTCTGATGATTCCTGTCACGAAATGGTCCAACGAAAATTATCTAATAATAAGGATAACGACGATACCAAGGCACAGGTAGCATTATTGCTTTTGCTTGCCGGACATGGTGATGCAGCACATGATGTCTTGTTGGGTGCCACTCTGGACAACTTAAAAGATGCGGAATATGCGGCCACTCATCGGGGTCAAACGAATTGGGCCCAAGAGCATCCCTTGTCCGATTTGGAAGATGTTTTGCATTCCTTGATTCATCGAATCTACGAAGGGTCGAGGGTTGGAGAAGGTGGATATACGGGGTACGAAAATGCTCAATATTGGTGTGCAGGAGGTCCCAAACAGTACCAGGAACCAATCATGGCACGAGAAATGAAAATAATGAACAAAAATGCAGCAAGAATTCCAACTTCAACTGGTGTTCTGGCCAAGGTCTATCAAGAATTGTGTCAATTAGCCTTGAAAAAGGCACCAATTTGCGTATCGAGAGGCATCATCGCACAAGCATCACCACCAGGGACAACAGCATCCAAACATCATGATGCTGATGACAACAAAAGTGCTGCTGGAACAGTCATTCACAGCATTATTGCGGGAGGAGGCAAATTTCGAGACGTCCATGTGCCAGAGAAATGTTGGGATCCCATTGTGTTTTGTCAATTGCTCTTGGAGAATGAATCGACGAACAGCGAAAAGGACGATGAGAGTCAACTATCATTGCAGCAGGAATTGGATTATTTGACCGAAAAGGAGCTCGAGTTGCTCGCCAAGTATCTCTTGTTGGTATCATCATGAAGACATGGACGTATAATATGTAAATACTTTCAAGACTCTGAATCAGATGATGCTATTTGTTCAGAGCTGATATCATGGGATGGATACTACTGTATGAGGACCAAGAATGAAAGCAGGAACGATGAGCTGTACACCATGAAGAAGACGAGCGAGGTGGGTCCTCGGTCATCATCGTTGCTTTGCACGAAAGACATCGAATGAAGGAATCATGAATGAACGAATCCATGAATAGGATCAAGATCTACACTAGGAACCAACAACAAGTCGGAGGATTTGGTTCATTTATTTTTATTTGAGTATGTAGGTAGAAATTTGAAAGATGGACTAACGGAAGTAAACAATGGGTCATTCGGGTCATTCACAGGTTTAGCGAGTGATGACGAGCCTGACAGATAAAATTTTAAACGCATGCGGGGTATCGTATTTAGTAAACTGACACGTATAAGACATGACTATTTATCGTTGATTGGAAGGCAAGCCTTTTTCATTCGAACCTCCATCATGTTCGTTTGAAAGTGGTGCTGTCCAGGATATCGAGTGCCGTGTGGAAGACGAAGCTTCCATTCAACAGCCAAGCAATAGCTTCAGCTTGATTGTGTATTACTTTTTTTGGCTCATCATAGTTCTCAAGTGTCCTTTATTGCTATATTTCAAAAAGAATCCACTTGGAACACATTGAAAACCTAGCTCAATTATCAAACTCCATCTTGTTGGATTGATTGAATCATCCACAGACACACACACACACACACACACACACACACACAACACACTCGCGTAGGATAGTTTCTGTTACACTCCAAAAACAATATGTCGACCGGTGATCAATTGTACGATCAAATGGCAGGCGGTGATCTCGGAATGGTCGGAGAAGAATTCGAAGAGTACTGCCGGAAGAATGGTTTGTGCAATCTTTGTGGAACCACCAAAACGCACAAGCGCGAGTTCAAGCTCGTGAAGAAGAATCAATGGAAAAGCCTCACTGTAGAAAGCAAGTCGGACGGTGGATACGTCGTCTACAAGGGATATTGCGTACAACCGGGATGCTTTACTTTGGATCAGGCCCGTAGATTGTTGGGAGAAATTGGACCAGGAGGTCAAGATGCAGACAGCATTGCTGAGACTATTTCCTTGGCTTCTAATTCCACAATCAAAAAGATGGGTGTCAAGTCTCGTCTCCTAAAAAAGAAAAAGAAAGGTGGAAGTTCCTCCTCCAAAAAAAAGGGCAATGACTTTGATGGTTTGACTGGATTCTCTTCCAAATCATCCAGAAGTAGCAAATCAAGGTCGTCCACGCGATCGACGGTCAGTGCCAGCGGTTCCGTTTCTTCTAGAATATCGAGAGATGATGATGATCGATCGGTGGGATCGGCCATGACGAGTAACTCCAAGGTCCGCTTGTCCTTGCAGCATTTGTTGAAGGAACATTCCGGAACCTTGTTGGATTTGAGTTCGACCAAATTGCATCATGTTCACATTACCGAGTTGGTCAATTCTCTTGGTATTGCCAGTACTCTCAACACACTCATTCTAGAGAACTGCAAGTTGAACGACAATGAAATTGAAGTTCTGGGCAATGGATTGGCGCGGGACGATACTGTGGCTCCGATTGAACGATTCTCGCTTCGGGCCAACCGATTGGGGAACCGCGGAACTGTCTCGTTGGCGGCATGGTTCAAAAAGTCTAAGCATTTGACGGAACTGGATTTGTCCAAGAATCAAATTGGTAGCCGTGGAGCTACTTCCACCTTGCACGCCTTTCGGGACAATCCAAATTGCAAAATTAAAATGTTGAACTTTGCCCACAATGAGATTTGGGACCCTGATGATGGAAGTTTTTTTGCTTCCAACTCGTCTCTCCAGCTTCTTAATTTGGAGGGAAACTTTATTCACGATGAAGGGGTGGAAGCTATCGCCAAGGGAATGATTCGGAATGTTGATCGTACCAACTTGAAGCATCTCTTTTTGGGATGGAACGGTATTGGAGATGAGGGTGCCATTCAATTGGCTCGGATGTTTGCCAGCAATATGTCCCTTGAAACGTTGGGATTGGGTGAGAATGACATTACCAGTGTTGGTGCCCGAGCCATGCTTGCCTGTTTGGCATCCAACTCGACTCTACGAGAAATCACTGGATTGTACCACAATCAAATCGACCGCAAGTTCATCATTGCTGCCATTAAGAGATTGTTGCAATCGCATATTGAGATTATCACCGACGAATCCAAGGAAGATCAGCGCATGCAAGCTGCGGTGGAAGCCTCCATGTCGGCCATGGACACGCTCGCTGAACCAATTGGCGAAAAGATGCCAGCACCTGATGAAGTTTCCGAATCGTCTTTGGATTGGGCTGAGAAGCTATACAGCGAAGGTGGCGGAACCGGCGGTATCCCTCCCATGTTGGAAATTACCACCGGAGCTGACCCCAAACAGGTAAAACTGGAAGATGAAATCGTGGAACCCGTGGAAAAGAGTGCTCCCGTGCCAGAAAAGGTCGACAAAGCTGCTGACCCACAAGTTGGCGTTGCATCAGAAATGCAAGAGATGCCCTTCGTGGAGATGGCGCCTCCCAGAACCAAATTTGACCGAATCATGGTCTTCCAAGCCGCTCCCTTGGCCTACTTTAACCGCAACTCGAGTCTTCATCATGCCGTTCCCCTTCATGAGTTTGGTCATGAGGTTAACATTTTGAGGCACGTCGCCAAGGACGCTGCCAAGGTCGATGCTGCGATCGATGTTGAAGCCCAGCCTGCCACTTTGGACAATTTCAGATTGTTCCTTTCAAAGGGAACTGCTGGAGTTCTTCATTTCTCTTGTCACGGGCATCCCGATCAGTTGGCATTCGAAAATGGAGCTGGTTACATCGATGGCCTCCAACCGGATGCACTCGGGAAGATAATGGCATCTTCCAAGGTCCCAATCAAGTTGGTGGTTGTCAACTCGTTCCACTCTGGTCGTATCGGTAAGGCATTTTTGGATGCTGGTGTTCCACACGTTGTGTGCTGTCATCACTCCGAAGTTTTCCGTGACAAGGCTGCTGGCGGATTTATCAAGAATCTGTACCGTGCTTTGGCCATGAATAAGTCCTTGAAGCAGGCTTTTCACATGGCCCAAGAGGCCATTCGTGTGGAGGAAATCACCAAGCACATTGAACGCTACGTCCTCTTGCCTCGCAAGCCAGAAGACGAATCCTACCACGATGTACCAATCTTTTACACACGAACGGTTCCCGAGATTGGTATTTCGGATCCCGAATATGAAGATGACTCCTACCGCCTTCCACCTTTGCCTCGCCATTTCATGGGACGCGAAGTTGACATGTACGAGATCTTGGAAGCCCTTCGCGCCGACGATGTGGTACGACTGGGTGGTGGACGAGGGAGCGGTAAGACCGCTGTGGCAACCGCTGTCTGCCGATACATCGATTTCCGCAAAAAGACATTCAAATACGACAATATCTTCTGGATGCCTCCACCAGAGCACGTCAAGCCAGAAGAAGACACTTTGTTTGGTGATCTCTGCGGTCTTTTTAATAAGATCCTCGACGCCGATCATAACGTTTGGGAAGATGGAGACGTGATTGAATGTCGCGAACGAATCAATATTGAATTGGAAGGAAGCAAGAGTCTCTTCGCCATTGATACAAGAATGTTCGAGACGGATGCTGCCGCCCAGAATCTCGAAGACTTTTTGGGTGATTTGCTGAACTCTGGCAACGCAATCAAGATCATTCTGATCACTCCCAGTGACGATTTGCCTCCTGAGGAAGACACCATTTACCTCAAGAACTTGGATTTCAAGGCAACAGCCCTGTTATTCGGAGAAGTCTCCCGATTCATTACGCCCAATGGTTGTCCTGCTGCACAATCGTCAGATGAATTCGGTGCACTGATGGTGCCTCCATCAGTGGCCAAGCTGCAAGATCAAACCAAGTTCTCTTCCAGTCGACGAACGGAGTTGATGGGTCACATGGGAGGCGGAAACCCAAAATCGATCATCAAGGCAGCCAAGCAAATGCCTGCAAGCACCTTTATTCAATTGATTGGTATGGCAAACACACCAGAAATCCACGTGGATTCCGCCAAAACTTTGCAAGTTGCCATCAAGAGATGGACAGGAGAGAAAGACAAGGCTGTTGCAGCCAAGAATCATTTGCGAGCGCTAGATTTGGATAAGGTATTGAATGAACTCCATGCCATGAAGTCTCAGTTCCGCACTCTGGATGATTTGATTGCTGAAGAAGCCGAGATGCAGAAGAAACTTGAAACAGCCATGTCTTCACGGCAATACAAGGAAGGAAACGCCATCAAGCGTGAAATTCTTGCTATGAAGCGTCTCATTATGCAAGAGAAGCGTGCGGTTCCCGACGAGAACGAGCAAGCAGCTACAGATCGACTTGCCGGCCTTCAAGAGCAAATGCAAAAGATTATGCAATTGGCTAACAACTCCTTTAGCAGTTTAGACCACCTTTCGGTTGACGAACGAGTTGCTGCTTCGTTCAACATGGGATCGAAGTACCATAATTGCGAATTGACCATCTCACCACAATCCACTCTGGAGTATGATCCTGGTGATGACATGGGTGCCATCATCTGCTGGACCAATGAATGTTGTGATGTCACACTTAGCGAGGGAAACAAAGCTCTGATGGAAGCTGGTGGACCAAACTTGCAGCGTGATATCTCTTCGCTTCCTGGAATCACAAGAACACCATGGGGACTTGGAAAATGTGGAACTGGAAATGCTGTTATTGTCGGTCCTGGAAACTACGATGACCTTCTGTTCCATTGCATAATCTTGGCCGTTGGTCCAACTTCCAGAGATGTTGACTACAAGGTAGACGACGAAGACGCCTTGCATTACATCAAGATTATGTTGCGGTCATGTATCCGATCGTGTCTCATTTTGGCAAAGCATTCTCAAGTTCACTCGATTGCTTTCCCAACTTTGACTACCAAGATGGACGGAGCCACTTATGACACTACGCTGCTCATGTTCTTTAAGATTCTTGTGGAAGAAGCCAGACATTCAGATCTGAATCGTCTTCATATCACGGCAAATTCGGAAAACGAAGCTTCCAAGTTGATTGCCATGGGAATAGATATGGGATTGGAGTTGGCTGAATCTGAGTCATCATAGTATCACTGTAATAACAACTTTAGAAGACAAATCTCAGGTTAACAGAATATTTCGGACAGTGCTATTAGCACTTGTAGTATTGTGCTTTAATGGATCGATTGGAGGGACGATGACTCAATGGCAATCAAAGCAAGAGGGCACTTTGCTTTTTCACCTCGTACAATATATTTGCAACTACTACAGTAGAGCACCATGGTGAAGGCAACACTAGAAAACAAATATCAGATACGCATGGTGAAGCAGTGACGGTTCATTCTTTAAATTAGTGTGTGTGTTTGTGTGTGTGTGCTATGCTTCGCGCCAATGGTGCTTTGCCCTCCAATAGAAGCCCGCAAGTCCCCTTCCCATTGAAAGTCTTTAGACTTCGGCCGACTTGGCATTGGGCGGAGACATTTGAATCAAGTATTCTTGGACGGCACGTTCGTAGGCCGCCAAGACATCCTTGGCTTCCTTGGGCGTTTGGGACAATCTGTACAAAGCAGTCAAGATTTGGGACTTTTCAAAGGGTTCACCCGTAGATTCGCCCAAGTAGCTATAGAGTTCGGCCATGTATTGGACCTCAATGTCTTGTTTGGCACCAGAGGCACCAATCTCAGTCGCCATGTGTCTCAAGTGTGTCAAACTCTTGAGTGGTTCGGGAAGCTTTTGCAGAGCCGATCCCTCATCCAAGTGCTTCCACATGCGTCCGGTAGTGGGGTGGAAGGTAGAGCTGTAAGGGCGCTTCATGGCAGAGCCACCGAGGGGTGACTTTTTGATCATGGAGGCCTTTCCTCCCGTAGCCTTGGCGTCGTTCAATTCAGCCTTTTGTTGTTCTTCACAGGCTTGTCGATAGAGATTCAACTGTTCCATTGAACGAGGCTTCAATGGGTGATCATCGGGAGCCTCTTGTTCCATGGCATTCCAGAGTTCAACAATCTTGTCCTTGAACTTGTGGAAACGGTTCTTTCCAGTTGGAACGCTGCAATCAGAGGCAACGCCGTCGTAGACCAATTCAAAGGCCTTGAACCATGGGTTGGTGGCCTTGTGGGAAGCAACCGCAGCGGATGGAGCATGAGCTTGATCCATGGCATCCAAAACACCAGCGAGGAACTGCAAGGAAATGAAAGAAACCAATCGTGAGTGAGTGAATGGACAAAAGGTAAGGACACATCCCAACCACTGATAGATCCAATACACGATAATGTGGATGGATCATTGGCCTCACAAAGTAAAGCATTCCAAGCAATGAACTTACAGATTCCCATTCTCTGGTCAGCAAATGTTTCACCCGAGGGAAGAATCTTCGCTTACTGCCAGCACCGAGTGCGTCATCAATGTCGGTCTTCTCTTCGGCTGCCACAGCAACAGCAGCGGCAGTCTCATCGACGACCTTCATTACATCATCCTTTTTTGTTGCGAGTACAGATGTCATGGTGAAACGGGGGAGGGGTTCGTCTGTAGTGAAATGGAAATGATGAATGAGAAAAGTTTTTGGGTTGTTCAGAGCTTTGTTTGGGGTTTGAACAAAACGTTGATCAGATTTCGTGTAACGATTGGTACAAAATGTACAGGAAACAAAGGGTGGCGCGCAGTGGATTTTGGAACGAGACGACGGGCTACGTAGAAGTTAGTACTGAATGTACACAGGTACGTCAATGCGCATCAAAATTGAAAAAAGCGGGCATGTCACGATCAAAATGACCCGATTTGAATTCTAGTCGAGGAAGTCGACGTTCGAATCCGCCGATCGACGCGACGCGACAATGCGACGACTGTCAAATGCCATCACCTCGGATCTCAATCCACCTCAAAATCTACAGTATCTGGTTGTGGTGAATTCTAAACTCATCATGTCAATGGGTTGTATGAGCCGAACAAGGATTCAACTGATAATTTCGCTAATGATCTGCTGGAGAGAATCCTTGGCGTTGGTTCGTTTCCATGGAAAGTGTCTTGGACGCCATAATCATCCTTCTGGTGTTTGCTCATCATTCGTCGACACTTGCCCTTCAGCAGCATCCTATTCACCAACTCCAGTTCGATTATTCGCTACACAGTATACCATTGAGGAAGAAGGAGTGGATTCCGAAGTACTAGAAAAGACAGTCCACAAACATTTTGAACACTTGGATCGGTTTCTAAAAGCAAGACCGGTGGCAGCTCATACCCAAGAAGCCTTTTCCACATTGGAGTCAATGTTGGAATCTATGGGAGATGCTCCCATAATTCTAGATAGGTACGATACTCCAGCCGCAAACGTAATTTCATTATACGAGTAACTAATGATTTTGATCTTTTCCTTTTGTCAAAAGTGGTTGTGGGACTGGAAAATCTACCGTCACCCTCGGTCAAATCTACCCCAACCACATAATTGTTGGGGTGGATCGATCTCTAGCCCGACTGACCAAGAATGGGATCTACCGTGACCAAGGCACCAATAGTGATGCCACTAATACGATGTATGTACGAGCCGAACTGACCGACTTTTGGAGGCTCTGGGCACAGTCCTCGTTGCCCAAACCACAGCAACATTACATGCTGTATCCAAATCCGTACCCCAAAAAGCGTCGCTTTCAGAATCGATGGTATGCCCATCCTGCGTTTCCACTCATTTTGCAAGACTTGGATAGTGACAAGATTGTGGTGCGGTCCAATTGGAAGGCCTATGTTGAAGACTTTGCATCGGCTACTTCCACGGCCAACCAGCTCCAACAGGAGAAAGGTGACATTTGCAACATGTATTCTTGCCATCCTCCTACAACCGTGGATCCCACACAACCAGCTTGGACCAACTTTGAACAAAAATACTTTGATTGTGGAGAAGAATGCTACGAAATGGTACTGACCAAG